ATTTTACGGAGACTTGCCACGGTCTCCAACCCTCCTCCTTTCTCATCCGGGCTTGGGACCGGCCATGGCCGAGTTACAATGCAAATTATTTTTATTTATTTTTGTTTCAGTGGAAGTAGCATGAATATTGTTCCAGCTTTAATCATAAACCAATGATTAGGAAGCTACAGGAACCTTCGTAAAATCCGTTTTTTTCTGAGTGACATCACCTTCTCTAGTTCTTCAGCCTTTATCATATCATCAGTTGACTTCAAGTGGTACAAATTTCCCTTCTTCACTGCTTCAAGGTCACTGATCGCTACAGGAACTGCTTCTGTCAATACTCTCCAGATTGTTTCTATTTTCGTCTTAGTGGTTGATATTTCGTTATTTTCTTCTTCCATTTAGAACAAAGTTGCCATCTGTCGAGCAAGCTCTATCGAAGATTTGCCGGACGTGGTCAGCAGAGCTAGAACACTCCATTAACATTAACTCTTAGCAGTTCATTTCGGAAAACTGTACATAGGATAGCAGTGAGTTTTCTCGAAAGTGCATTATCTTCACTTTTAAAGAGTTTAACTGATTATACGCCATCAGCAACATAGATTTCACATCCGTGGTTCATATTGTATTACCTTATTTCTGTAACCGCATTTTTTTGAATTGTTGTCTTATATGGAATGGTTGCAGCTCTGAGTGAGTAAAAGCGAAAGAAAGTTTGTCAGATATAGGGAAACCTTCCGGTTGCATGACTGATGCGGTTTCTAGGCTCTTATAATGCCTGATGCTGCGCCGATTTTCGTTGCTGGATGAATCAGGCTAAAGTTCATCTTTCATGAACATGATGTTCCTAGCTATGATGCAAGTTTGTCATGTATCCTGGTTCTTTTTCACTTAATGGTATTAGAATATGTATTTTTCTTGGAACGACGAAAGGCAGGTGGCACTCTCAGGAGTCGAATTCTGATTTTTGCACTTCGATTCTGATCACCTACCAGTGGAGTTACGCTTGTCATGCACGGGATACGTTACTGTATTTTTTGTCACTGGTGTTTTTCATATGTACTTTGTTACAGATGTACGGAGAGCACACAAAGTCTGAACCAGGCATTAAAGAAAGGCCCGGTAGCATGTCGGCTAAACTTGGTACGATTGCTGTTAGAGACAACAGAACTGTCGCCGCACCGTCTGTGAAGCACGCCGTACTTGAAAAGATTTACGCCGTACCCGGCAACGACTTTTGTGCTGACTGTGGCTCGAAGAACCCGAAGTGGGCTAGCATCAACTTCGGTGTAACGCTGTGCATCGAATGTTGTGCGATTCATAGGTGCGTCTTGATGCTGATCCATGACCGTAATTTCTTAGCGGCGTTTCTACCAAATCGTTTTGGTTTATTTTAAAGTTTGTGGATATTTGCTGAAAATGAAAAAGGAGTTGTTTTCATGTGTAATAATTTTTAACAACATTCATCGAATGTTTTTAGATAGAACAGACCTTTACGTGTACAGCGCAGGTATTCTTTTTTTTTTGATTTTGCGTAATGTCGTTAGTATCAAACAGTTCACCGGAAAGATGCTGGTGAATTCTATACTCGACCAGACCAGGCTCTTCGGTGTCACGGCACCGCAAATTTTATCTGAGTTGTTTGCGTCATCACTTCGTTTCACTTTTCATGACCACTTCTTTTCTCGAATCGCAGAGGCAGACACATCAGACAATGTTACCTCCTGTTCAGAACTGGTAGCGATTCTGTTGCTTATTGGTATTTTCGTCGTCGTTTTGTTGACCTTCGCCAA